GCGGCGCGCGGGCGGTCCTGTGCGTGCCCGTCTAAAAATCAAACGCTCGCGCAGACGCACGCGGCGGCGCGGCGAGGGACGCGGACCAACTCCATGCGCTCCCCAAACCACTCGGCCGCCGGGGGTCGCACGCAGACCGGGGGTCCAGACGATGGAGATACAAGCCCCCAGTTTCGCGCACGTGCGACTTCCAACCACCGACCGCGGCGCCTACCTCCGGCCCAGGCACTTCCCAGGGGCTCTAGCGGACCACAGGCTCTAGAGACGGACCACAGATCGGCTACCGCCAGCCCCGCGCCGTCCCGCTAACCCTGACCCTAAGCCTCCGGCGAGCGGATGGGCGCCGGCCAGCGCCCGCCGCCGTCCGGCTACCCTAAACCCGAACCCTAACAATACACCCAGCGATGGCCGTAACCCTCAGCGAGCGCCTCTCTAACCCCCAGCTAACCCTCGACCCCACTCTGGGGACGCACGGGCCGCGTGTAACCCGCAAAACCGTCCAAAACGAGCCTCGCGGCGTCGGGGATCGTTCGCGCGCGCGCGCGCCCGCGCGCGCATCCGTCGGCGCCGAGAGCGTCGTCGTCGCGTCTGTCCTCGAGGGCGCGGCGCTGGAGCGCGTCGCGGGCGCGCCGCTCGCGGCCGCCGAGGCCGTCGCCGAGGCCGCCGGCGTCGAAGCGCTCGAGGCCGTCGGGAGCTCGAGCGCGCCGGCGACGAGCTTCTCCGATATTTGAGTTTGGTAAATAGACATAATTTGAAAGAAGAAACTGAAGAAGTACCAGAAAAAATAGGCGAAGAAGGAAAAGAGGAAGAAATAAAGGATGATGATATATTTGGTTTGATTCCAGATGATATATTTCGAAAAATATTGGATGATTTGATTTCTGGTGATTTGAATCTATGTAAACATTTCGGAATATTGTTCTGGCCTACCGATCCGGGCCGTGTTTCCCTACTGCGAGTGAAGACCAAGAGGGATGAGCTATTTGCGAGCACTGCTGCTCTACTGGAGAATGATGATTTCATGCGGTTAGTGATGCCAATTTGCGTGGTAGTTGAAGATCTCCAGAGGGAGATCATTAACAGGAAAATATTCCTGCCTAAGGCACTGTCCAAGATGAAAGAAGCGGAGTCAAGGGCATGCCTGCAACGACACTGTAAAATTACCATGCCAGCTCATGGTCATACTGACGGTTTTGTCAACGAGCTCACTGATGTTGAGGTTGCTTACCAGCTGGAGCTATTTGGATATGGTGGACTTCCAACCAGAAATTTATTACAAAATGTCATAGAGGCTGCAGATTTGATTCGGCGGGCAGATGTCTACTTGACTTTTCCTTGGGGTACGTCTGCAATGTGGGGTCCAGACCCAGAGCTGGTGGCAGAAGATGCACTCCACCTCATATTAAGAATGATGCCAACTGCAAATCACACTTGCCTTTCTTGGCCCCTCGTGCACAAGGACGCCCGAGCTGAGGAGCGGATGCTGATGGCGTCCCAGGCGATTCGGAGAAAGACTTCAATTTCATGGTATAAAGCAGCATGGCTTGATGGGTCTTCAAATACTGACATCATCAAGCAGTCCTTCGGTGACAGTGACAGTATGAAGCTGCTGGATGCCTGGCAGGACACTGACATTTTAAAGTGCATTTCCAGTGATGATTCCGTAATAAATAGCCTGAGAATGATGATGTTTCACTTGAAGAAGAGCATTGAAATTATGAGGATGAAACCAACGAAAAAGCCTGGTGATGAAGGCTATCAAGCTGAGCTGGAAAAAGATGCTGACCGCCTCCAGTATCACGCAGATCAGTGGTGGCATTTTGCGAGTAAGCATGTTGGAGAGAAGGTCCTTACCTCATATGGCCACAGCTTGAAGTGTGGTAATTTCAGCGAGATTTATGAAAAAATGGGGCTATCTGATCTA